GAAAATCGGGGCAGGGACGGTACTGTACCGTCGTCAAGGTTGCTATAGTATGATACAGTACGGTATAGGTTCGGACCCTGTTCTCACGGGGGCAGACAGTACTAATAGTCGAGTATAGCACGGTATTATGAGCGGGAAATAATGAGTTCTAGCAGACGATAAAACGATTCGTTGCGGCCCCGAATATCGAGACCGCCAAAGCAGTTAATCAGGAATCAGCCTCAGTATGATACAAATAAGCTTTTTGAACTTCTGCAGTAGAAGCTCTTCGGAACCGCTAAAATTCGCACCTTATTTGAGAAGAAAGTAGGCACCGGCGCAACTGTCCTGAGTTTATTCATTGATCAACGCGATCCCTGGGTGGTTTGCGTGTATCATATGTATCACATGGGAATTTGGTTCCCATCCCGCAAGAACTCAAATAATCGATCAAACCTTGTGCTAGGAGGTTGAGAATTCCCTACCCTGGAAAAAGGAGTGAAAAACATAATATAATAGCAAAAAAAAAAAAAAAAAAAAAAACCGAAGACTGATCAGCTCCCTCTGAGAGATATAAAAAGACAAAAACGAAACGCTAGACCTTGCTAGGGGAGACATATTCAACGATAGGTTTCTATTGTGATTGAGTGTTTGCGAGATGGGTTTGCCCATGGTTGTCATTTCGAGATTGGTTTGGGTTCGCGGGGCCGGACAACGCCAGTTTTGATTTTGTTTGTTGGGTTGGGATTGCTGTTTGCTGGTCAGCCTCTTCTTGGGCTGCCGGTAGTCTACGAGGTGTGTGGTCGGGCCCTCGCCCGAGGGTCTACAGGCTAGGCAGGCTGGAGCTGGCTCACCACCTGGACGTGAGATGCTGCGGAGCACATATGCCAGTCTGGTGGGGGGTCCTTTAGTCGGCTAAGGATAAATTCATTGAACAGGGACATAACACACGACTTAAACATCTGAGTTTTTACGGTGCCGGTATTGCACCAATTTATACTATACTCGTATGATTAGCAAGGCTTAACGCTTGTCTTGACACGACGAGAGTGCCAACACTATGACGCCCAGACTCGCAAGCTAGCCATACCTGGTAATTATTCTGCGGCTCTGAGAAGAATCACCTCAGCTGGGGGTTGCACGTGAGCCCGATGGTCTACCGATACCGTCCGCCGTTCTTGACTTCTGATATCTGAAAACACAGAGTTTCTCAAAGAATTTGCTTTTTTTCTCTCGAACGCAATTTCTCACAGCTCACTTCCCTTCTTCCAGCCCCCCGACTTTACCTCTCTTAGTTAGGAAACCAACCCGAACCCATACCGAGGCGTCAAGAGATTTTATTTTATTTTTCTCGGGGGGCTAAAGAACTACCGTAGCAGACCGATGATGACCTTTTCGTCATCGATGATATGGTGTCGAGGCACCAGTACACGCCTCTTAACATAACAGTCCATGTCAATAAACCCTCGCATAGGAAAAGAGACATATGACACGAATACCTCCTCTCTATTCTCAGAACTTCAGCTTAATAGCCCTAGGAGTATGCCCACTAACCTCTGGTAATCCTGCAGGTTTACCACCGTAGCTTTACACTCTTCCGTATTTGGTCCACGGTAGCTACCGTACGGTGCGGGAACTGTGGTATGATCCCTTCGTCTGCTCCCGGACTCTGCGCACACTCGGTTCAGGAGGCGGAGATTTTGGTACGAAAAATGTGGCTACGGATAGAAACGACCACTGTCGACCTGGCCAATAATTGCTTGGGGAGGATCAATCCCGATACCGTATTAGGGCATCTTTAGGTTGTTTTGCCACTTATTCCTTTCACCGCACAGGTTAGCAACACCGCTAAGCTACTCGGGTAGTTCGAGTGCTTGAAAATGTATGAAGGGATGGGATGGTGCTGCTGCTATAAAACACCCTAGGAGAGCACCGGTATGGAATCGGGTACCGGTATCCTTACGGTCGTTGATTGGCTAGGTCAACCTTCTGTGAATGAGTCTATTCCTTTAATTAGAGATTTCCAACCAATCCTGGTGATGGTCCTGCCTATCACCGCGCTAAAAGTGAGTGAAATTCGGGAACAAGCGAGGGGATTTCCCGGGTAGATCTTACGCTAGCTTAGTGCAATACCGGTACTCGAGTAAGACGGAACCCTGTGTCTTCGGGTACTTGTAGTACAAGCATTGTAGGACCAGTTAAATCCACAGTTGAGGGTGCCCAGTCCCCACGGCATAGCTTTGGCGAGCTGAGCTCGCTGGATCTCGTTGTTAATTGTAAGTGTTCGGTACGAGTATTCTGCAGCCTATTCTGCTAACCCTATTGTAATCTAGTACGGTAATTTCCGTTGTGTGCCCGTACCTGAACACTCTCCTGGAGCACAAGTGCCAGTACTAGTGCTCTAGTCTGATGTGGATTTGACGAGCTTTTATGGTGCAGTACGATGCTCAAGTGCTGTACGGGTGCCTGCGCTGCTTGCAAGCGACTTCCGAGCTGCGCTATAGGAAAGGTTGATTTCATTAGAGGAGTTTGGTCACTAAGGTTTGATCCATCAGGACGGAGGTCACCGGGCTCGGAGCACCCGACCAAAAGAAGGTGCCCGAATGGGCTCCTTTGGCTCCCACTTACCATGGGCTAAGCAATATTGTGTTCCTAAGGGTGAGTCTCGAGGCCGCTGGCCCTTTGGTAAGTCGAAAATTTCAACAATAAAAACTGCCGGTAACTTGAGTAATTGTTGAAAACCTCTTGGCTCCAGTGACCACTCGATGAATACGAGTGGGTACAATAACCGAAAAGATTGTTCTACCCTATTCTATATCTCTAGCGGTGGCCGGCGCAAGGGGAATCGGCTTGGATGTCTCCTGACACCGGTGCATCTACCTTTTATGGGTATAGAGGAATTCGGCTACTATCATAGTATACCGGAAGTCCCTTCGTGTTACTCAGGGGAACGCGGGGCGGAGTGAGCCCTCATAGTGCGATATATCATAGGAATACCAGTATCATACCTCCGTGATTCCACTCCTGCTATGCCGAAGCCCTCGCTTGCCAGCTTAACCTTAGACGGATAAGACCGTATCATACCGCAAAGACTCGAATAGGAGATGAGTGTGGTAGGAGGTTGTAGTTGCCTCTCCCAGCAAGCCACGGTGTATATTCCTTTTGTTGCGTCGACCCGGGGCCGAGTTTGCGGTGTTTTCCCCTCGGGTAACCGAGAAGGGGAATTCCAACGTCCTAGTAATGTATGTAGCACATTCATCTTCCACCGACATTCGGGTTCTCACGCTGCTGAAATAGCACTTAAGCTTATTGCCTGTATGATACCACGATGCGACGGAAGGTAATAAGCATAAAATCCTGCTTGTGATGCTTGTGCTCCCCTACCACGAGCATTCATGCTCCGTTTTTTGAGGAAAGGATTTCTCCAGCGGCTACTTGCTCCTGCTGTACGAGCAGAAATGCTTGGTTCCGCGGTTTTATTTGAGTTACATTTTTTTTTCGTTTTCTCGAGATGTGCCGGGTTCATTGGGGGTGTCCAGGTTGGTCCTATCCTGCTCTATTTGGCCGGTCCCTTCCAAACCTGAGAAGTGGTCCTTCTAAGAATTGCAGTGGGATCAAATTTTTTTCCTGCCTCATCTCATTTTGGTTTACTATGCTCGTTCACGCCATACATGTCCAGGCCCGCACCCGAACCTCATAGGCACACAAGGTACCGGTAGTGCGCATAGGCAAGGCATCCTAGATGGATCGCGTTGGAGCTTATCGGTTATCCTATGCAAGCCTCTCCTGCCGCTCAATGACCCTGTCCACGGGCGGGCCGCCGGGAGGGCCCGCAAAAAGGTCGGGAAAGGACCACCCCGAACGCCCCGATTGCTTTTTCGCATCAGACACGGAGAACTCAGACACTCTACTCGCACGGCAGTACGCAAGAAGTGCCGGTATTCGATGCTCGAGTAACGTAATACTGTACGAGTTTTGGGCTTTGAACGGGAGCACGGACACGCACGGGCTTTCTGGCTCTTTTCAAAAAAAACCCTACTATCGATTCTTCTTCCTTCTAGCAACTTACTAGCAAGTAACGAGTACTAGCGCGAGCAGCACCCTAAGCACGCCACACGGGTCCCGGGTACCACGTTCCAGCAGATCTCCTCAATAACCAATCTGGGCTCTTCCAAGAAGGCTTCATGAGTTCTTCTTTTCAAAAGAAAACCCCCCCATGGCGTTGGGATGCGTACTCGTACAGTACACGTACCACAGGTGGGCAGCCACATAAATGGGAAACGCAGGGAGGTGGGGGGGGGGGGCTTCAGCGGTAAGAGGTTAAGACAAGAACCTCCAGAAACAGGCGATTGGAGGGGCGGAACGCTGACTAGAGCCTAACGTGTTCCCCGCCATACCGAGCGCCCGGCATTGCGAGGATTCCGCGAGTTTGGGTAACGTGATTAGTCGAACCCCGGTTGCCATTTGAAATAGTGACCGGTATTTGGGTGGATGGCTTACCATGGCCTGGAATGCCTTGTGTCTGTTGATGTATAACTACTCGCCCACGTCCCTGATATCTGAGGAAGCCCATGTGATTGAAAATGTCAAACTAGTCGGAAGATAGGATATGGAGGAAAATAAATCTCACCAGATATTTATTGTCGGACTGGTGGTGGGGTTGATCAGTTTCGTGGTGACGGCTCTCAGGATTTTCACTCGAGTGAAGATTGTGCGGGCCTGGGGATCTGATGATGGTATTATACCTTCCTACATCTTGACATAATATTTCCGAGAGACGAAGTGGAGTGATTGTTGACATTTTTCATTTCGCACGAAATAGTACTGATTGTTGTTGCGGAGGTTTGTGCTTGTTTCTTGTACATTTTGTGGCCTGAAAATGGGGAGGAGCCGTAGCTGACACCACTTGGTTCGCAACAGTTGCTTTCCATTTCCTTTCTGATCTGCCTTCTCATCGGTAAATTCACCTCTAAACCCCCCCCCCTTCCCGTTTGAGATTTTCGAACTAGCTCATACCTACTGTTATAGGAGCCTCCAATGGCATGGGGACCCATATAGAAACACTATCACCACAGACTTTGGTCGTGTTTCTGAAGGTATCATACCAGCCCACCAGCCTGTTCTAGGAGCTGTGCAGGCTAACCTCTCAACAGGCAACTTGGGGCACCAACTTTGCTTACTCCTGGGTAACAATGTTTGCCAAACTCTCTGTCCTCATTTTCTACAGACGGGTCATGGGCCATCACACCTGGTTTAAGTGGGCGGCAGATTGCATGATCGTGTTCATTCTACTGATAGGCATCGGAAGTGAGGCCATTCTCTTTTCCCATTGTCGGCCGTTTGCCTATTACTGGAATAGAACCATTCCAAATGGGTATTGCTGGAACTTGGAGCTTTTCTATTTCGTTAATGCGGGCGTGAATATCGTCGCAGACGTGGTGATCACCTTTTTGCCCTTGCCCCTCTTGTCTCAGCTGTGAGCGATCCGGTAGTAGGGCCCGGCACGTTTTGCTACTATCATACTAACGCATTCATACAGTGAGCTGCCTAAAAGACAGAAAATTGGTCTTTGCGTGATATTCAGTCTTGGGGGCTTGTGAATTCTCAAATACCATCCATCCTCTTCCACGGGGTAGCTAATGCTGTTCCGCAGGGCATGCGCCATTAGCGCCGTCCGCGTCTTCCAGCTTCCGGCCCTTAACCATACCAAAGACATAACCTGTGCGTGTCCCTTCCGAACTTCCTTCCAATCCAGAAGGGAAGTTGACCCATCTCTTTAGGGGACATCACCAGTGCAATGCTTTGGTATTTTGTCGAAGCACACTTGATTATAATAGCAGCGTGTGGTCCCGCGCTGCAACCCTTCTTCCGCCGCTACCTGCCAATTCTTCTCGGCAGCACCGCGGGTGCTAGCAAGGACTTGCCCTCATATGCAATTGGGGGAAGCCATAACATGCAACTGTTTCAGAGATCCTCCAATATAACCACCGGGCCAAGGGGCAAATATGGTGAGGGGGATAGCGAGGAGCATATCATTGGTGGGGGCTCGGGTATCATGAAGACTACGGACGTGGTTCTGACGGTGGAGGATATTCCCGAGCCACAGGGCCGAGGTAATGGGCACCGGGGGAGCGAAACGCCATAATGCGTGTTCCCAATTCTTCCCGCATTCTTCAATGTTTTGATGTCTTTTGTAATGTTTGGGGGAGGTGCCGGCAGGTATGAAAGTTTAGTCAATTAAAAAATCTTAAAATTTCAAGCGCTCAGAAAGCTAGAGAGAGCTAGAATCGATAGCCTAGCTAAGCACCTTATGCCATAGCCAGCCAGTTGAAACTCGTGTGGAAAACCGGCCACACGAGTGACTAAGCGTGATCTCCGACCAGACCAGCCCCGGTTTGGACATGTATGATATTTTTCACACCGCAATTACCCATTTTAACCGTTTCGGTTCTCAGCCTCCGTACAAGAGGAAGCCAGCGCAAAGGAGGTCCAGCAGGTTTCTACCTGGGAGGCCACGAGCACACCAACATGAGCGATCTCCTCTGTCCATTTCTTCCACTGGCATCCCAACATCCTTCTTTAATCGAATGGCCTGTAAGTTACCCTCCGGTAGCCAACCCCTCATATAAGGTAATACTAAATTGCCTTGGGTTATTGATCCCTTTAGGTACTTCGCTGGGCTTTGGTGTTCCCTACCGTAGCAGGTGTGAACGGGCTGTCCCAAGTTATGCGCACCTCCCTATGCCTGGTCGGTTCACACGCAAGCCTTTATCACACGTTTGCTCCGGCCTCTGCGGATTTTTATTTTTATCCCCCAAAGTTGCTGGATAGCGCCTGGAGGTGGACAGGTATATTAGTAAGTGACTAGTCAAGCACTACGTTCCCTCAAGACTAAACGGAACGGAGCCCTTCCATTACTCATTCTCGCCCTCACACTGTCACTTCTGGTGTGTGGTATGATAAACTACTGGTACTCTATCGGGTTCTGGATCCGAGTAGCGGCAGGTCCTGGCCGGAGGGCGGATGTATCCGAAAGTTCTATATCTAGGCTCAAGTGGCCGCTAGAGCGGGGAAGAATCGAGGGATCGAAGGATGTTGATGCGGGGGTATTTCCTTTCATGATCTCCTTACAAAGGCTAAGTCCCCCCACCGTACCTTTGCAATCCTTTGAGCCTATAATGATGAATTGCGTCCCCGCTTGATCCATACGCGGCATTTTGTGTGCTAACGCTGATGCTTCGGGTTAAATTTCGACGGGCAGAATCTCAGCAGCCTCCGCAACTTCGCTTATCCGCCGGCGCGCACGTTATACACCTACCAATGGCCAATTGCCAGGCACGGGGCTAGTTCCTCGCCAGAAAATGTGACTCCGAGTGCGAATCTATGATCGCGGTTAATAATGGTTAAAGTCACGAGTGCCGGTAATATGGACCTTACGGGCGCTATCGTATTACATCAGCAGCAGGGCCCCTCTTTCCCCTCCACCGGGACAGGAAATTTCGCGGATAGGCCGGAGAAAATGCGGACAAGATCGATACCATAGATACGGAAAATGTCACCATTGGGAGTTTGAATACCATTCATTCCATGTCCCTCCTCGACGAATCGGAATAAGCAATACCGGTATTAGAGTACGGTACATATCATACCATATGGGTAATCAGCCAACAGGCGTGTACAAAACGTGCGTTGATCGCAGCTTGCATCCGGGAAAAAAAGTGGTGCACGGACCGGATTCCAGCTTGACAGTGGAAAATCACGAAAGGAGTGCTGCGCGTTTATTGTTGCAGCGTTGGGCCACCGTTTTGTCTAGGCGTTGATAAGGGGATATGTGCTCGGATCTAAGTCAGCCTATTCGAACTCGTAGCCTCCCGATATGAGACCATGCTGGAACAATTGAGCCTCCGGCTAGGGCGCTGGGGCTGGCTCTCCCACAGTTCTCTAAATTATGGGGTCTGTTGTGTTTTTCCTTTCATTTGTCTCGGCGAAGGGTTGAAAGCCAGCATCTTTTTTTTTTTGGGCTGATTCCCCCGTTGATCCAAAGAGGGGAATTCTGGACGTCCCACAACCATTCGGTGCGGGTTGAAGCAAAAAAAAAAAAAGGCCGACATAGAATGACGTCATGGCGGTTGGGCTTATCGAGGGCCAACAACGTATTGTTGCCGATCTGGGCTTGGCTCGTGCGCAATAAGCCGGTGTCTTTTGGCCGGGTGAAGGGTGGGGGATTGAGTTGTTTTATTAGCTTAATCCGCTGTTCCGGGGAGCTTTTCCCCTTCCTCTTCTCATCCTACGGTACCCGCGCTCAAGCACTCAAGGAGGTCCGTTCACGGGAATAAGAGGAATTGATAGAGCTATCATGATTGAGCACAGACTTTAATCGAGGAATGCTGAATCGCACCTACTGATAGGTCGACGAATGGATAAGTTGGGCTTTTCATGATAGCAGAATCCTGCAGGTAGCATGGATATATCGTATTAGATAACGGTGCCGTCCCACGCCAACAACATGGAGCAACAGATGGTGCAGAAGCACCGGAAGCAGTAGGGCCCGTCAATACTAGTGCCGTACGAGTGCAAGATCTCCGTTGCGGACCAGACAGCCAAACAGCGTTTCGGAAAGTATTGGATCTGCGGATCATGTTTCTCGTGCGTACTCTTCTTGATAGGAATCTTGGGTACTCATGTGGGAAACGCTTTTTCCGGAAGTGAGAGTTGTCCCTTAGCGAAAGCCCCTCGGGCTCTTGTTCCTGGATACCACTGGTGGAGAAACAAAATTAAAAATTAAAATCAACTGTTCCTGCCTCCAGGATTGCGACAACTTTGGTTGGCTCTTGCCCTGGCTTTGGGCGCATGGATGGTGTTTAGGATGAAGTTTTCTGGGTGGGTTGTATCATTAAATCCTCAGGGTGGGCTAATGCACTAAGAAAAAATATGATAATCGTAGGTGAAAAAAAGGGAAAAGACGAAACAGGAATGAAGGCACAAACTTCGTGAAGCTAGGATAGCTTACGCACAACCATGTAGCGGGCCCCATTGTTTGCTGCTCTATCCGCATCACCTGTGCATAAACTATATATTTCCTGCTCCATCCACTCTTCATCCAGTTATTCCAGCGGACATCGTCTTGCCCCTCTTTGCCCCTCCTTTTGCATTTTGGCGTCCCGCCTAGCACTCGTTTCCTTTTCCTCTTCACCTTTTGACTATCGATCATCCTGTGGGCTAAAGATGGTGAAGCACGGCCAATATGAGTATCTTACGCAGGAGGAGAGAAGATTGAAGGAAGACAGGGAGCGGAGGAAGTATTGGAAGAAATGGGGCCCCTATCTCAGCGAGTGAGTTTTCTCAATGCTTATCGCACCAACTCCCCATAAAATATAGGGGGGGCTCAATGTTAACAGCTATCGTGGCGATGAAGACGACAATGGGGAACAGTTCGTGAAGATTACTCGTGAGTTCTTCCGCTAACTCCCACTTCCGGATTTTGGGAGTTTGACTGATTGGGTTGCTAGTGAGAGCGGAGACGCCTGGAGCCGTACGTCGTTGTAACCGGTTTCCCAACCCCTCGCATTTGCTAACTCGCGCGCTAGACTTTCCTCACGATCACGCGAGATCTCGCACCTACCGCTGGGGCGAGGACGGAATTGCCGGAGTGTCGGACACTCATGGTCTTCAGAATATCTCTTTTGTGTTCTGGAACGAACATGAGTACGCTTCCCCACGCCCTGCAGTTTGGTCCCAATAGCTAATAATTTGCAGTGATTTCTTGAAAGAACGTCTCTTTGGTCTTTCGAATCCCCAGGGAAATCATGGAGAATCTCTCAAGGAAGCACATTTCCATCTTGACAACACACCTACCCACTCCTATATGAAATATCTATACAAGTATCCTCAGAGAAAATTCCCCTATGAGCCGTTGGTAGCGGAGAATTCCAGGCGGAGTCGAGACGTACCAGAATTTACCCTAACGGATACGGGTATTTTTAAGTGGGGTCTCTTTTCCCGGTGTTTGCGTAAGGGTTCATCATTAATTTAGGGTTAGGGATGATCGGTATTGGGACATCTTCATTGAAACGGCCAAGGATACAAACGACGAGGAAGAGCTTCTTTTCCGTGTTACGGCATGGAACCGGGGGCCCGAGCCTGCGCCTTTGCACATTGTTCCGCATATGTGGTTCCGTAACACTTGGGCTTGGGGCCACGAGGACGAATCCAAGAAGCCAAACATTAAACAGGAAGGCCCATTAATTGCCGGGTCGAAGCATTGGGCACTCGGAGATCGTTATCTTCAGCTCTCGCCTTCACCAGGTGTCACTCCGGAGTCTCCAGACGTGCTGCCGGAGCTTATGTTTACGGATAATGATACCAATTATAAGTGCCTTTTTGACGGCCAAAACCAGACACCATACGTAAAGGACGCATTCCACAGGTACATAGTCGACGACGAGAAGGATGCGGTTAACCCTGCAAAAACTGGTACCAAGGCTGCAGCCTGGTACGCATTTGAGGAAGGCGACGGAGTGCCTCCCGGCGGGTGCGCAGTCGTCCGGTTCAAGTTCTCTCGAAATGTAGAAAGCCGTTCATATATTCCCGGCGAGTCGGAGATCGGGATCGACGAAGAGCTCTTTGACGACATCATCGAGCGCCGTCGCTCCGAAGCCGATGAATTCTACTGGCGTATTTCCCCATTACCGATGGCCGACGATCTTAGAAATATTCAACGACAGGCACTTAGCGGGATGTTATGGACGAAGCAATATTACCACTTTGTGTGGGATCAATGGGCAAATGGAGACCCATCGCAGCCACCGCCACCGCCTGGGAGAAAGGGGATTCGAAATCAAACTTGGAAACATATGTACCTGGATGACGTACTGAGTATGCCCGACTGTTGGGAATATCCTTTCTTCGCTGCATGGGATACTGCGTTCCATACGATTCCGTTAGCGATGGTTGACCCAGATTTTGCGAAAAAGCAGTTGGATCTGCTGACCAGGGAATGGTATATGCACCCCAATGGCCAGGTAAGTGGAATCCAACCCTGTGGCGAAACATGTTAGTTGACAGGTTTTTCGGTTAGATCCCGGCCTATGAGTGGAATTTCGGGGACGTCAACCCTCCGGTTCATGCCTGGGCTGTCTTCAGAACCTTCAAGATTGAGCGGAAGATGTATGGTCGTGAGGATCTCGACTTCCTTGAGCGTGTCTTCCAAAAGCTTCTCCTCAATTTCACATGGTAAGTTAGCAAAGCTCGTTATTTACGAATGACAGCTGATGGAAGCTTTATTAGGTGGGTTAACCGGAAAGATTTTGATGGTAAGAATGTATTCGAGGGTGGTTTCCTGGGGCTGGATAACATTGGGATCTTTAACCGGTCGGAGCCATTGCCCACCGGGGGCGTTCTTGAGCAGGCCGATTCCACTGGGTGGATGGCGTTCTATTCTCTAAGCATGCTCAATATTTCACTCGAACTGGCTAAACACCGGAGAATTTATGAGGATATTGCGAGTAAATTTTTCGAGCACTTCATCTTCATCAGTGACGCTATGACCTACAAGGATGGCGGGAAAGAAGAGAGCTTATGGAATGATGAAGATGGGTTTGTTTCCACTAGACTCTCGTAACAATTCTTGGGAAACTGACGTTCGCCCTAGCTTCTACTATGATGCTATCTCATGGGGAGGTCCATTCTCGCAGCAAATGCCCGTCAAGTCCCTTGTCGGGCTCATCCCGCTGTATGCTGTCCTGACCTTGGAACCCGAATTGATCAATAAGTTCCCGAGCTTTAAAAAGCGTATGGAATGGTTTGTCGAGATGCGTAATGATGTTGCAGAGAGGAACATTGCCAGTATGAAAAAGAGAGGGCAAGGCGAGAGGATACTGTTGAGTTTGGTGAGCAAGGACAGATTGAAGAGGATTTTGGAGAAGATGTTGGACGAGGATGAGTTCTTTAGTGATCATGGGATTCGATCGTAAGAGTATCCCTCTACCGGGGCGCTGAATAAAGCTAACAAATTTAAATAGGTTATCGAAACATCACAAGGGAAACCCTTACTGTATGAACGTTAACGGACAGGAATTCAAGGTTGATTATGTGCCTGGCGATTCAAATAGTGCACTGTTTGGTGGTAACAGCAACTGGCGCGGCGTAAGCAACCACCCCCGACCCAGGTATCCAGTATATAGCTGACATGTAGCACTCAGCCCATCTGGCTTTGTGTCAACTTCCTTCTTATTGAATCTCTTCTCCGCTTCTACATGTTCTACGGAGAGTCCTTCAAAGTAGAATGTCCCACCGGTTCCGGGGAATACATGCATCTTGGCCACGTTGCCGAGGAACTCCAGCATCGCCTCCAACACATCTTTGCTCGTGCAGACGATGGCCGCCGTGCCTGCAATGCTGGTAATAACATGCTAGACTTCGACCCTAATTGGTGCGACTATCTTTGGTTCCACGAGTTCTTCCATGCCGACACAGGTGCCGGCTTGGGGGCAAGCCACCAAACCGGGTGGACTGGATTGATTGCCAAGATGATTCATGACTCCGGCATCAATTGCAGATTGCCGCAGACACCAAGGACACCTCGCACAGCAGCCGACCACTACTTTGATGATATTTTCAATAGGGTTTCCAAACCCAAGCCCTACATGGGGCGCAGGGCCAGCACTAGGAGCATTGATGCTCGCAGCGATTGGGCTGAGGAGGATGAGGAAACCGAAGAGCAGAAAAGAGAGCGGGAGAAGGATGATAAAGAGGTTTTGGGATACGTCAGTAATCACCTAAAGCGGGTTAAAAGTCACGCAAGCGTATTCGATGAGGAAGACGACGAGTATGAAGTCCATGTGAAATAGTACCTTCTACACATGGGAGTTCGGTCTTTATTTATTTATTTATTTTATTTTATTTATTTTTTTGTTGTCGCTTGGTTTCACTCCGGTGTATCTAGGGGGGACTGTTGGAATTGTGGGAACACGTCAGGTTAACAAGCAGGCATAGAGGATAGCAAAACAGAATGAGATTTTACTCTCCCTTGAGGACTATGTGCATTAAGTATGTAATGAGTAAGGTCTAGGATACAAGTGCCAGACACAAGCATCCCACTCACGATGTGTAGCCGATCAATTGTGGTTCAAAGCCATCAGCCAACTCGTAAAATCTCTCTCCCACCTTGACGCCGGGCTTCAGAACTTGCACCACACAAATTGTCGATTTCCTCCAAAGCTTCCACAAAATCCTCATGTTCAACTTTCCCTCCAGTCAACCTCTTCACCCATTCCTTTGCCGAACCATCTCCAATCCTCAGCCCTCGTTTCAAAGCCACATGAAACAAACAAGCCGCTGCAACGCTCCTCGCGGGAAAGAAGTTGCAAATCTTATAGCTAGTCATAACTCTCCCAACAACACCCCAAACCTCCCTCCCGAGCCCCGTCTCACAGATATCTACAATCTTAGTCTCCGCGCACTCCTCCTCTCCGGGGGTCGCTACCGGTGGCAAAACCTTCTCAAGAAATCTTGGTAGAAAGTCATAGGGCAACGGAACACGCAAGTCGAACCGCAGTACGCGAAGCAGCAGTAATTCCGCAGCCACAACCGTTGACCTGAGCGAGTCGTACAAGGGCGAAGGGAAGGTCAGCGGGGGCGAAGACGGGTGCAGGTGAGCATATGCCGGCACAAGAAGCTCGCGAAGTCTTCTGGGCGATTCGGTGGCCTTTGTAGAGAGGGAGAGGGAGGCGAGGCACAGTGTCTTTGGATCTCGTTAGCTAGGGCCGAAAAGGGGTAACTTGAATGAAATGGGATAAAAGCGGGTACATGATCGTCCAGCGGCGAGCAAGATTCTTCCGATGCCCAGCGATTATAGCGGTGGAGGTAGACGTATGCCATTGAGAGGGCTTCCGGTGTGAGGCGGAGGGTATCGGCCATGACGGTCAGGAAAGAGGCCCAGTCAGTAGGTGAAAGCATTAATAAAGGTTGTGTTTGCTTGGTGGTGGCGGGGGTAAAGTGTTCATGGCTGGACCGATGCGGTGAAGGCATTTTACGGTAGTCTACGTGCTTTGGCGCAGTAGGGTCAGGTGTTTGAAGGAGGTATCATAATGGTCATTTGGAGTGTAAACTTGAGACGGGGCATTTTCTCCCTTCCCTTTCCTTCCTCCTTCCTTCCCTCCTTCCTTCCCCGCCAAGAGATGAGGCTCCACAAAGCTTGAACCATCACCAACGTTCCCCCCCCTCCTTTTTCTCAATGGAGCTAATCGCCTTCGGCTTCAATGCCCACGGGCAACTCTCCCCGTCAACCAATCCCCTAGAGATTCCCGAAGACATCCGTATCCCGCAAATAATTGCTTCAGCAAGTGATTCGTTAAGAGTACTTTTCACCGGATGGAGTGATACTTTACGTATTACACCCCCCCCCCTGCCTTCCACCACTCTCGATTCTACCCCCCTCACTCACATTGCTACCCCTCCAACAAAGAACAATAATATAAAAAGCAGTAGAAGTGGACGGCAACCTTCGCCTCCTTGGCGCCGCCTCCGCCAACACCCAACTGACCATTCCATCAACCCATCTCTCTCCAATAACCTCCGCCTTCGGCGACCACACAGGCCTGAAAGGCGTGACGACAATAACACAAGCAATCCACCTCCTCCAACACTATGGCACAAAGCAAGTATGCTTCGGCCAGCGGGTCGAAGGAATAGACGACACATCACACATCGCTATCGCCGGAAACGGCATCGTCGCGGCCGTACAAGGCGACGAGGTACTGGTCTACCGCTCCTTCTCGGCCTTCCTACTGAAGAACGCGCGGCAGCGGTGGAAGATCGCTGGGGGTGGTGTGGTGGGGCTGCACGCTAATGAGGGTGGCTTCGTAGTCTTGACCAGAGAATACGGTGGCAGGGTGATTACCTGGGGCGACGCACGGCACGAGTACTTGGGCAGGGAGACAACGGCTGAAGCACCTGCGGGGGCTCCCGGGATCGTGGATGCGCTGGATGGGATTGCGATCGCGCGGGTGGGTAGCGGAGGGTGGTGCTCCGCTGGGGTTAGTGTTGAGCGTGATGTTTATGTTTGGGGAGGGGCCGGCGGGGATGTTTTGGCCGGTAGGGGGGAGGTGGAGCTTGTCCAGGAGCCCGAAGAGGTTGATGGGGTTAGCGTTGGTGATGGGCATGTTGTTGCTTGGGCCGGCGGGAAGTTATGGGGTATCGGTCGGGGGGAGAACGGTCAGCTTGGCAAGGAGGGAGGAAGGTGGAGGGGGGAGTGGAGGGAGATTGAGGGGGTGTGTAGACACGGGAAGGTTATTAGGGATGTGGTCTGTGGCGGGTGGAGCACTTTGGTGGTCTGTCAAAGGCAAGAGGTGTAGTGCTCATGAATGGTCACTCGAGACAATCCCGCCCGGCTAGAACTCCCGATAGAAGGGGTTAAGGCAAAAAAAAGACAAATTGCTGGTGTACATTTAGAATACTCGAATCATCACTCAACCAAGTATAGCCATTTTGAGGTGGTATAGTACTGTACTTAAGCTAGGTTTATTGTGCGATGGAAAAAAAACTACCCGCCCACTTGAAAGCTGTTGATGCGATTACTATCGGGCTACTCCCGGCGAAGCTAATAAAAGCCCGGATACCTAAGGACGATAAAACCAAAAAAAAGCGACTGACAACGAAATCCAGCCCTCAAATTTTCCTATTAATAGTTTCCGACAAAGGAGAGATATGATACCGGTAATGCGTTTCATTGACGGCATGGTATGGTACTGTACCGTCAGTTGCATCCACCGCAGGGGGTATATATCACAGCCCGACCCGCCGCATGCCACTCGCGCCGCAGTCCACTTACGATGCCTGGCGGCTGTGGGAGAATCCCCGGTTTATTCTCACGGCGCGGAAGTTCGGTGCGGTGCGGTGACTCGCGCGCTCCACGCCGAATGGTCATTCCTTGTCTCTTAGGAGGATGGCAATTCCTTGTCTCTTAGGAGGATGGCAATTCGCCAACTTGCCGCAAATTATCCATCCTGAATAACAACAATAACGAAATGTGGTTGATGATCGTGTTGAGAGAGAATATTTTCACCCGCTGTGGAAGGGTGTCATGTTGAAAACTTGGGCCGGTCGGTTGGGGGGTTGGAATTGGTGATTTTCGGTGATGCCCAGGGATTGATTGTGTGGGTGGGGGCTACGGTATGGCAGT